CCGCTTCAACTTCAGGGTGTCCAACAATGAAGCCGAGTATGAGGCCCTCCTCAGCGGCCTCAGATTTGCCGCTGGCCTTAGAGCCAAGCACATCAGAATCAGGTGCGACTCCAAGCTGGTAGTGGGCCAGGTTGAGGGTACGTACGAAGCAAAGGAAGGCCGGATGAAGCAGTACAAACAGGCAGCAGAGGAGTTGCTGAAGGCATTCGAAACCCACGAGATCACACAGATCCCAAGGGCCGAGAACGCCGTGGCCGACATCCTCTCCAAGCTCAGCTCGGATACTCCAGAGCACATCTCCAAAATAGCCAAGATCGAGGAGCTGAGCATGTAATACTTGAGATTTAAATCAAACGGATTAATAGTACTACTCATACCAACAAGGTGCATCTCCTTTTAAGGGAGCTCATTAGCCAAGAACTCCAAAGTTAAGTGTGTTTGCACGGGAGTAGTCTTGGGATGGGTGACCCCCTGAGAAGTTTCTCAGGGCGCGCATGAGTGAGGACAAAGTGCGCGGAAAAGGCTAGTGGCGGTTTGTGAGGACAGTACTAGAGGTCCGAAGAGAGTTTGGAGTAACTACCTTGGGTCCTGCGGGGCCGGGGTGTTACAGGTGGTATCAGAGCAACCCTGCGACAGTGTGTTGACCCGTTAGATATCGGGCGGGCACTTAGCGGGGGAGAATTCTGGGATTTGATTGAGATTTGAGATTGGTTTATGGGCGCAACGAGGACGTTGCGTTCCTAAGTGGGGGTGATTGTAATACTTGAGATTTAATTCAAACGGATTAATAGTACTACTCATACCAACAAGGTGCATCTCCTTTTAAGGAAGCTCATTAGCCAAGAACTCCAAAGTTAAGCGTGCTTGCACGAGAGTGGTCTTGGGATGGGTGACCCCCTGGGAAGTTTCTCAGGGCGCGCATGAGTGAGGACAAAGTGCGCGGAAAAGGCTAGTGGTGGTTTGTGAGGACAGTACTAGAGGTCCGAAGAGAGTTTGGAGTAACTACCTTGGGTCCTTCAGGACAGGGGTGTTACAGAGCATGTCCAGCATCCATGCCAGCCCCATCTTGTGCATCCAACAGCGGCCGAAGGACTGGATCTCCGACATCACCACTTTCATCATCACGGGACTCTCCTCCGATGCCTCCGATGCCTGCACCAGGACGAGGCCGAAGTGGCCATGGAGGAAGTTCACTGCAGTGTTTGCTCCTCACACCAGGGCCATTTCAGTATGTCTCGGCGTCTCGTCGTCCAGGGCTATTTCTGGCTGACGATGGCGCGGGATTGTGCAGATCTTGCCAGGAAATGTACCACGTACCAGGTGCTCCAGAAGGCCCCTGGTCGGCCAGCCGTCAACTACGCCCCCGGCAGCACTACCATTCCATTCTCAAGGTGGGGGATTGACCTGGTCGGCCCACTACCCAGAGCTGCCGGCAACAACCGCTACATCATCGGCGCAGTCGACTACTTCACCAAGTGGGTCGCAGCGGAACCTTTGGCCAGCATCACAGGGCGAGATGTCAGAAGTTCGCCTATAAGAACGTCATTACCCGCTTCGGCTTCCCCCAAGAGATCATATCTGACAATGGCACCCAGTTTGAAGCGGCACCCTTTCAGGAGCTCCTTCGAGAGTTGGGAATAAAGCACAACTTCTCCTCCGTTGCCTACCCTCAGGGCAATGAGCAGGTTGAGAACGCCAACAGAACTATAATGGAGGGGCTGAAGAAGAAGCTCCAGGACGCAGGAGGAAGTTGGGTCGACGAGCTCCCCAGCATCCTGTGGTGCTATCGCACTACGCCAAGGAGGGCAACGGGTGAAACGCCTTTTGCCCTGTGCTATGGCTTTGAAGCAAAGGCACCCACGGAAGTCGCCATTCCCAGCCGACGGGTGGAGCAGTACGACCCTCAGTTCAACGAGGAGAACATGAAGATCGACCTCCACCTGGTCGAAGAAAGACGTGAACAAGCATTCATCCGGGCGGAGAACTACAGGCGTCAAGTGAAATCATACTATGACGCCAAGGTACGTTCCCGGAAATTCCAAGTGGGGGACTACGTCCTCCGCCGAAGGGAAGCAAGTCAGCCGACGAAAGGGGGAAAGCTAGCCTTGAAGTATGAAGGTCCCTACATCGTCAGTGCCGTGGTGAAACCCGACACCTACAAGCTTAAACACCCAAATGGGACCAATGTACCACGAACGTGGAATGTACACCATATGGTGAAGTTTTACCAATAATCTGAAGGAGGTGCAGCCGACGAAGCCATCACCCCTTGACGGGTTATTGATTGAACACCACCCTCGGCCTTGAGCCACTTATGAATAAAAATCATGTTTCCTTTGATTTCTTGGAATTTGAGTAAAACATTAACGGGCGCCCTCATCGGCCACCTTAGAGCGAAAGGCTCAGGCATGGCCGATGTGGCGCTTCGCATATGCAGCCTTAGAGCGGAAGGCTCAGGTATGCTCCATTGTATTTTGTATCAGTGAAAGATTTAGGCCCAGCTGAAAGAGCACGTCGTATCGGCCCCTCAGAGCGGAACGCTCAGACAGGGCCGACGATGACCCCAGGACGATGGGCCCGCAACCGGGCCGCGCCTTGAAATGGGAAGTTCACCGCGTCGTCCACGCGCCTGACCGTAGGACGACAGGCCTGAAATCATGGCCGAGGTGACAAAATCCCAAAACTCAGGGTTGGGCAACGGCAGCCGTTGGAAACTAACCAAAAGTCTAGTCCGCGTCATAAATAGGCGACGTGACCCCCCTGAGACCATGGATGTTATAAACGAAGTCCAAACCGGCCGAAGGACTATCGACCCCTTCGGACGAAGCCTGAAAGAAGGACACTCCCCGAAATAGGGAACGAAAAAAAAGAGGGAAGCCGAGGACCGCGCACACTTGCCGGCCTCGAGTAGTAAAAATAAATCCCCACGCATCAAGCCACACATTTGGCTAAGTACATATCAGTTGAATACAAAGGTAACACTACCAACAGGTAACACGGACGAAGCGGCCACCCGCTACGAGGGAAGTGTCAAGGACGGAGCATGCACCTTTAGAATCCTACCCAAGTGGTTGGGTGAAACGAGGGTGGTTACCTTCATCGGCCACGACCGACTAAAGTTCCAACACTTAGCATGAAAACCAAGAGTCCCAGCTTGACACTTAACACAATCCTGGAGTTGAACACCGGAAAGGAGGACCAGGACGAAGCGGGCACTCAAACACGCGGGAAAGTTGAACACACTGGCGGCAACCCTTACCGGCCACGACATTCTCGATGGCCGTTAAAGGCGCTAAAAACCGAGGCGGCTGCTTAGGTTGAACACAGAAAAATCTCAAAGGCAAAAGGGAAAACACATCCCCAAGACGAAGCGAATAACAGAGAAGAAAATTGCCTAAGTGAATTTCAAACACTTAGAGAATTTTTGAAGAAAGCAAATGCAAAGGAAAAGGCAAGCACCCGGGTGCGCAACACACGGGTACCTTCATCGGCCACACCGCCCAAATTGGCCGACAACGGTACTAAGCAGAAAAAGCTACATGGCTTAGCACTTAGAGAAATCTCCAAAGTAGTGAATAACGAGGGACAGCCTAAAGCCGAAGCGGGCACTCAAATTCATGCAGGTGCCCACCTCGGCCCCAACAACGGGCGATAGTTATCTATATTCTATTTTGACACTTAGACAAATCTCAAATTTGGAATAACGAAGGCAACAAACAAAAACATTTAAATCCGAAGGGGACAAAAGCACTATCCATTCAATCAAAAGGTCAAGTCCCATAGGGGAGCGCTTCGGCCATCACACTCAGACGGCAAAGGACAGGTACCCTTACCGGCTACGACTACAGAAATCAGAATTGACTTCCTGTTCAAACACGAAGCAATGGCCGAAGGACGAGATCACCAAGTCTGGCATTTAGTTCAACACTTAGAAAATTTTCCAAAGTCTCGGTCAAAAGAAAAAGGGGGCGTGATATCAAGACGACGTGAACACCCACTCATTTGAAACCTTCGTACTTAGAAAAATTACCTGTCCCAATCCCAAACACTTAGAAAATTTTTGAAAAGCTTGAGAACAGAAACAAAAGGAAAACAAGACGACGAGAAGACTGAATAAGGCCGGAAACATTGCACATTTCATTCATATAAGGTCATTACATAAGGAGGGCTCAATGGCCATTACAAAAAAGAAGGGCGTCACAAACACCAGCCTAGCTAAATTACAAAATGATAAGTCAGCCGATCAACTCTCGGGGACGGTCTCATCGGCCACCTGCTCCGCTTCGGCCTCCTCCGTCCTGGCACCTCCGCTGGCCTCGACTGCTGAGGAGACGGCAGTATCGGCCAGAGTGTCATCGTCGGACCAGTCAGGCTCACCGATTGAAGAGCTGAGCACCGGATCCTGCCTCTCAGACGGGGGGAGCTTCGCTTCGGCCTCCGGATCCCTCATCAGCCGTGGAAACTTCAAGTTCTTCTTCGCCCACTTTTGGGTGAGCTTCAGCTTTTTGAACGCCCGGTGCAGCCTCCGGTATATCAGCCGCTGCATCCTCTGTTGACCCATGTCGTAGTAGACAGCCATTTCACGATCAAAATACTCTTGGCCAGCAGGGCAGTTCTGGACCCAGTCTTTGAGCCGGTCCGCCACGACGTCGTAGCATCAGGGCCGGCGGTCATCAGCCTTCCAGCCTTCGGCAAGGAACCTCTCGATGGCGCCATCCACGGCCTTCTCAGCGGCCCTTTCAGAATCCACCTGAGCCCTCGCATCGTCCTCGGCCCGAAGAAGGGCCTCATCACGGCTTCTCAGGGCTTCGTCCTTGGCCCTCAAAGCATCGTCCCTATCGGCTGCCACCTGTCGGTAGGCCACGTCGGCCTCATCAACTCCCTTCTGGAGGGCCTTTACCTCCTCTCGAAGCCTATCCAGGCAGGCCATGGCCTCCTCGGCCGAGGCAGCTTTCTTCTCAGCCTCCTTCAGGCGGGCAATCTCCTGCTCCTGCCGTTTGTGGCTCTCCATCAGCATGAGAGCGCCCTGCAACAAAAAAGGAAAAATGAAGAATTAGGACGACGCAAAACCCATGACACAAAAAGACATAAAGTATGAGGAACTTACTTGGACGATGAGGTCCATACCGCCATCATAAATCCTGACGGGACCCAGCTTCTTCAGATAAGCCCGATCCTCGACCGGGACAGCCTGGTCTAGGACATCGTGGCCGTCAACGGCGTCATTGAAGATGCCACCCTTCACAGGATACTCGATCTCGAGCTTGTAAGTCCCGCCGGCCAGCTCCTTGCCGGCCCTCTGCTTGCGGGGCTCTTGGCTGATAGGCGGTGGCTGAGATAGGACCGCCGAAGAGGGGACCGAAACCACGTCCACAACGGCAATGGCATTTGAGCCCCCGACATCATCATCCAGTATGGCCAGACCTCCGGCACCAGTATCCGCCAGAGGGGAAGCCCTCTTCGGCTTCTTGGATTGCATGCCGGCCTCGGTAAGTTTTTTCTGGCCGTCATCAGTAGGCCGCTTCTTCTTCGACTGCGTTGGCGGCTTCTTCGCCGCATCAGAGCTTGGTTGGGCGCTGCTCGCAGCGGCCTTCTTTGCGGCCTCCTTTGCGGCCATCTCCTCCTTCGCCTTAGCTTTGGCTAGGGCCATGACGGATCTACGATCCATAGTGAAGTCTGTACAACCAGGAAAACAAACAGTTAGCAAAAACAAAAGAAAACATAGATGAAGACGCCAGGGAAGGTATTACCATCGGCGTCAGCAGGAATGCCCATATCCGGGCCGTCGGCCTCCTCAAAGGTGGTGGTCATCTTCGGCCACAACTCGATGTCACTTTCCTTGTCGCCGTACACATGATACCTCATGAAGTCGAGGGCGGTCATCTTATACTCCGTAATGTAATGCTTCACGCTCCTCGGCCCTCCCTTCAGAAATGCCGCTACCTGGGCATCCAAAACACTACTCTTTGGCACGTCGTGAAGGGTGAACTTACCGTCATGACCAACTGAGGGAAACTCCGTGCCGTCCTCACCCAAAGATACGAAGACGAACTTGCTCTTCCAACCATGAATGGACGAAGGAAGGTCAGTGAAACTCCTCTTCTTTGGCAGCTGTTGGAGATTAGCATAACCAACACAGTTTTTATGGCTCCCTCGGCCGATCTGGTACAGGTTCATGAACAGAGCCGTCTTCGGCCTAAAATCTAGCTCATCGCAGCGGAGAAGAAAGCCGACGATGAGCGAATAGCTGTTGGGAGTCAACAAGGCCGGAGGGAGACCCACCATGTCCAGATACTCCGTAATGAATGGATGAAGGGGAAACCTAAGTCCCTTTGCGAAGCTCATGAGGTATACTCCAAAATACCCCGGAGGTGGATTCAACACATGATCTGTCGGCTTGGGCGCCCTAACCCGCCCATACGGCCCCACGTACATCTGGGCCACCAAGTAATCGGCCGCGCTGCTCTCCGGCTTGATCAGATAAAGGTTGGTGAGATCCAGGTAAGAGAAACCTGGACCCCTCTTCGGCCGCCGCCTTCTCGTCGGAGCAGCTCCCTTTACAGCAGAAACCGGCTTCGGGCAAGGGATTGCAGCCGATGTAGACGCTTCGCCCACAGCACATGAAGCCACTACGTCTTCACCATCAGACGACGAGGCGGCCTCTTCGTCCTCACCCTCACCCTCCCCTGACATGAAGGAGCTCAACTCCTCTATCTCCTCACAGCACTCTTCTACCACCCGGTAATCAAGAGACTTAGCAGAGGGCTCATCGTCGTACAGGTGGTACTCGTCGTTCAAAGGCTTCATCATAACAACTAACTAGAGCCTAAGGGTTTACACTTGGGATCTAAGGGTGTTTCTCCACTAACAGAGGATCAATGGCCTAGGAAGCAAAATAGGCAAAGTACAGAGGAAAATTTCGATGAACTAACCTTTGAAGCTTTGACGAACACGAAGAACACTTGCAAGAACTTTATCTCTCTAGAAAATTCGGCAACACTTCGTTATCTCAGGAATGCAATGAAGAACCTCTTCGGAAGGGGGGAGTATTTATAGACCTCCCCCCAATGGTCACTACACGTGGCAACCTCCCATTGGCCACATGAACGGCCACCACCCCCAAGGCCCATTGGGCTGGCACCGATTTAGAAGACGGGTCAAGCCCACTTCTACAATACTAGCTCATCGCCAATAGGCCAACCACTCAACGGCCACGCAAGGAAATCGTGCCCGCATCGGCCTCACCACAAAGACACTTCAAAAGGGTAGGTCACATCCCAAGGCATGTCCATATCGGCTTGAACAGAATGCCAAATTGCATGGCCTTTTCAACGGCCACAACGGTAAAAGCAAGATTAAACCCCACGCCATCAGCCCTGTGTAAAACCCTGATGATAATTTCTTGAAAGCGACCTGCGTCCAAGGTTTCTCCCACAGGGTTACCTTGACCAGGAAATCGCCAAGGAATTGGATTCAGGTGTATACAAGAGTCCTCTTCGGCCTAGGTAAATCCTTTACTCCTTCACCCCTCACCTACTCTTCGGCCTGAAGCAGTGGGGGACTAGGGACTACACCGGCCTTTGAAAATCAGGACAAAATCAAGGAAATCCAAAAAAATACTAAGTCCACAACTACAACATCAGACATGCACCACAACGTCCATAACATCGTGGTGCACCATCGGCCACAGAAAAGCTAGCGAACAAAGAATTCCCTCCAAAAGTGCAACACTTGAGATCACAGGGCACTTATCGGCTTTGAGACCACATACTCCACTCTCGGCCAGGAATTAAAGAACAGGAAGTTAACGTACCTGAACCACCATCGTCCATAAGACCAGGACAAGCACCACTCCCCCGGATCAGTGCCGTTATCATCCTCAAAAGCGTGAATGCCAGACTACGGACATCACCGCTTCGGCCAAAAAACACAGAACGCAGTCAACGGCTAAAAAAAAGCAAACCGCACCCTCATCGGCCACCCAGAAACAAAGGACGCTCATCATCCAACAAAAAGGTAACCCCAATGGCCTCCTCGGCCAACAGTACGAACTTTAACCAACGGTCAGAAGGAGTGAACAACACCCTTAACGGACATCCAAAACAATGGACGCTCGTCGTCCTCAAAACAAGACGCAGCCCCAACGGCCTCATCAGCCTAAAAGGAAAGTTCAACCATCAACGATCAAGGATAGACACTACCTTCATCAGCCACTCATGCCAGAACACTCATTGTCCACAAACAAGCGCACCAAAGGAATAACAGCCTTCCCCGTCCATATCAAGGGGCAGGTAACGGCCAAACTCAGAACAGGGCCACCAACGCCACGACAGGGAACGGCCAACGTGGTCCCGCATCGGCCAAGAGCATCAAGCACAGAAATCTACTCTCCTTCACTTCGTCTACATCTCAACTTAGAGAGTGGGGGACTCCTGATGGAGCATATGAGTCTAGGCCCAGGACCCACATACTCAGAAGAACAGAAAGTACATGCCATCGAGTGGTGCCCTCGTCGGCCAAAGGACCCCCGTCGGCCGAAGAAGGACCAACTCAGAATATGATCCGGAAGCCAGGGAACTTGGGTGCCCCCGTCGGCCGTACCCTCGTCGGTCGTGCCCTCATCGGCCGCGCCCTCGTCGGCCACGGAAGCCTCACAGAACTAGATTTTACACTTAATCAATTCTACGCACATTGTATTCGGCCCAATAGCGGTCCAGTTGTAAATGGGCCTCCCAAGCCCAAGGCTTTGGGAGCCCAGCCAGTATTTTCCCTATAAATACTTCCTCTGGAGGTAGTTGTAGGGGTTCACAAAATCATTTATTGAAGCATTTACTTGCACTTCTCTCTCTAGCTCTCACTTCTCTCTAGATATATACTCTATCAATAAATATTCTCTAGACCAAGATGAATATGATATGTGATTCTGGAATATATCGGGTGGTCCCAGTTCCTGGTGTGGGTCCCACATGTACTTTACCATACAAGTACAAGCAAAAATGAAAATTTACAGCCACGTAAATTCATTAATCACATCTCAAAGTTCAATACATAGTTTGGTAAAAGTAAATATGTTCAGGGACGGTATTACATCTACTCTTTTTTCTTTTAAAAAATTATTTGAATAAGACTTTCAGTATAATGGTATATCGGTATACCTCTTATTTTTTAAAACATATACCAATACCATACCGAAGGAACTGTACCGTACCGTACCGAAAATGTCAGTATAACTAAATTTTCGGTAAATTCGGTATTTTACGCGCCGGTATGGTAAATGAGATATACCGAAATTTCGATATTTTTCCCAGCCCTAGACTTACCAAGCAAAATATTTTGCTCACCTATTCTGAGCCAAAATAATTCTAAGCACAACTCAGCTTTGGCTTGGAATTGCTTCTGTCCTGAGTTGAGGTGGATTTTGGAGCAGATAAGCCCGCCACCATATCTTTGGCTTTTCGGTCTTGGCTCAGAATGCGTCTTAGATATGTCGAGCGAAGTGTTTGGCTTCATTTTTCATGCCAAAACACGAATGGTACCCGTGTTTAACTTTTCCGAGCTCAAAACCGAGATAAATTTTTGTTGGGAATGACTCCCAACCAAATTAATGTGCCTATATCAAAGTTTTTTGGTAGTGATGGTTTGTACTTTGTAGGTGTATGAATGATAGTAGGGTTACAACCTTCCATGGGGAGTATATATAAGAAAATAATAGGTTGGACTACTATATGGGCCCCATAGGTTCAAACTACATGAAATAGCTAATAATTGACATAATCGCTAATATAATAGATACAATGGATAAACAAAGTTGTACAATGGTATAAATGTTATTTACTAAGCGTATGTGGGTTGCTGTCCAGACCGAATAATCATGAGACTCAGAGTCCGGCCTATTCCATATATTCTATCAGACTCATTGATTGATAATTAACTTATCATTCAAATTCTAAACTGAAAAACTCCCTCTTAGAAGAAATTAAAATATACTATGGAGAACTATCAAATAAGCCCTCGAACTTTCATAAAAAATGCAAATAAGCCCTTTTATAGGAGGCTCTGTCCGGCCGTCTCCATTTGGGGCGGTTTCCGGTGGAATTTTTTGATGAACTTTTTTGAGTATCTTCTTCATTAAGTCTAGTTTATTCATACCAAATTTCAGCTAAAAATTCAATCGGGAAGGCAGTCAAATGAATTTTTGAAGATAACTGCGCAGTTAGACAACGCAATATATTTCAGAAAATCATTTGACTGCCTTCTCGATTGAATTTTTAGCTGCAATTTGGTATGGGTAAACTAGACTTAATTAAGAAGATGCTCAAAAAACTTCATCAAAAAATTCCACCGGAAACCGCCCCAAATAGCAACAGCCGGACAAAGCCTCCTGTAAAAGGGCTTATTTGCACTTTTAATGAAAGTTCGAGGGCTTATTTGATAGTTCTCCCAATATACTACTATTATAGAATTTCACTTTGTTTTGACTCCTATTTAGGATTTTATACCAAGTATATTAAACCACATGTGAAGCGCAAATTATACCGTACGACCGGCATACCATGCTCATGGTATGCCGGTCCAAATACGCTGTCGTTTTTATAAAAAAAAACACGGAACCCTCTCCTTTAGTCAGCCGTATTCGCTTCGTCATTTTTTTTTCTCCACCACCGTTTCTCCATCATTGCTTCGTCTCTATACCACGCCCTGTTTCTCCATCAAAGTCTTAATCTCTATTCTCTATATCGTGTAGTGCATGCATATGGGTCTGCCACAATTGCATTGGTCAAATAAACCATCAAAACAAATGATTCTCCATCCACTCAGAACAAAATCCACTCAGAACAAAATTCATTCATAAAAAAATAACATAAATTGATTTATTGGTCAAATAAGCACATCCATATGCAAAAATGATTTTTCTTAAAAATATTTTTATGTCCTTAATGTTAAAAACAAAATATATTATATGTTTTGAACAATTAAACTTGTTTTTATTATTTACATTTGATATTATATGAAATTACATGTTCTTATACGTAGGTTACATTTGTTTATGTATGAGTTACATCTCAATGCATGCAAGTTACACCATAAAATAAACCCCCTTCTAATGATCAAAAAATATTTTTTTTAACTATATCATTTTTATAGACCTAATATTAAAAAAACATATTCACTATTCACCAATAAGTAATTGGGCAATTAAGATCAACTTTTTATTGTTTACATTGAGAATGTTTATAACATATATACACGTATAATATAGTTTACATTTCAACTTTTCTAGATTTACATTTTAATGTACGCGAGTTACATTTTATTGTACCCGAGTTACATCTTAATGCACGCGAGTTACACCATTAAATTCACCATGCTAATGATCAATTTTTTTAACTAAATCAATTTTTATAGACCTAATATTAAAAATTCAAAACATATTCACTATTTATAAAGAGTAATTGGGCAATCAGGAATCATTTTTTCATTGTTTACCTTGAAATCAGTGTTTTCCCCCTTACATTTCGTTTTAGACAACTTACATATTAACTTGACTCAAGTTACATTTCCTATCAACGTGAGTTACATTTTTGTAAACGGGAGTTACACCACCCTGCTACTGAAACACACACAAAAAGTTATTGTTCATCCGTGAGTACTGTTCATCCGAATTTTACTCGAGAGCATGATGCTCATCGTACGCTAGTACCACGCTATACAAACTGATTTAACTGCAATTTAGAGTAAACTCTTTTCTAGAAATGAGGTGTAAAGGCTACTTCAAAATGCACATTGCATATGAATTAAAATTGCCCTAATAATCAAGCAACAAAAAGGGTATATAGAATTACGTAACTGATGTAATTTGTATTGTTTGTTTCTAACACCGTTCTTAAGTTGTCTTGTAAACGCTATTTTATGTGTCCCATAATAAATGCCATAATAAAAAACTAAATTTAAATTACCCTCTTTTTTTTTATAATTTTCAACTAAACAGTTGCCAATTCAAGTTATAAATCCGCACGTCGAAATTGTTTGCTTTTTGCTCATGATTATCAGTGTTTTTCATTAATATGTATCTTCCTCATGAATTAATCAATGAAAAATCAAAAAAAAATCAATGAAAAATAATCTAAATTGTACAAAAAATGGGTCAAGCAAGTGATTTATAAAGTGCTAAAGAAAGCATAAGGCACATGGAAAGTGGAATATTGAATGGTGAACCATCCCAAACTTTGACGAGTTCAAGGGAAGAATCGGAGCAGTCAAAAGTTATATTGGCTAAAAAAGGTATCCATTCTCCATAACTATGAAGCAAGATTATGGTTATAAAATGAAAACACCAGACTAGATAGCTAGAGCACAAAAGGAAAACAGAAAACACAAGCCATGCCTTACTTCACTGAGGATCTCATCACAGAAATCCTCTCAAGATTGCCCGCCAAGCCTCTCATACGATTCAAATGCGTCTCCAAAAGATGGAATTCTTTGATCTCAGACCCTGCATTTGCCAACCTTCAGCTGAGAAGAGCCAACAGAGACGACGGCAACAGGCTCTTCCTCACGACTGCGCCGCCTCAATCTCTAGACTACAACCATGGTGCTTTTCGAAAGTTGAGTTATCCTGCTGCAATGATGAAAGGCGGCCCTCCTTCCGATTTCATACCCACATGGGTCCTGGGTTCTTGTAATGGGCTGATCGGTTTCAGGGGTTCATCTCTGCGTTATGGATATGCCGGCGAGTTCTTGTGGAATCCGACCACCGGAGATTATAAAGAATTGCCAGACGCCCCACACCTTAAATGTTTGATTTATTGGCCGACTCTCTCCGGAGTAGGATATAATGTTAGCAGCAATGATTATGGAGTATTGCATGGTTTCACGAAGAACCAGAGCAAGGGGACAAGGGAAACTGCTCTTCAGCTCTGCACATTAAAGACAGGAAAGTGGAGACAAATTCAAGACGCTAATCCAGATTTAGTTCCCCATCTTAAAGGAAGGTCTATTTCTTGGAATGGAGATATGTTTTGGTTGGGTTGTAAACCAAATGGTGTCCGCTGTCTTGGTTCTTTTGATCTCAAAGAGGAGAAATTCAAAGAAATCCAGCTGCCATTACTGGGTGACAGAAGTTCTGGTGTAATGAGTTTGGGAATATCAGGGAACTCATTATGTGTGTTTTGTAAAGGAAAGGAGAGCTGCTTTGAGGGTTGGGCATTGAAGCTTGATGCCATTGGAGCATCTTGTTGGAACAGACTCTTCAGTTTTCCACTTGACACACTTTGGGGTCCTAGAGACACTCTTCTATGCTTAACAAAGGAAGGAGAGATTCTTATGGATTCTGGAGAGATTCTAATGGATTCTAATGAACTCAGAATATACATTTACAATCTCAAGGATAGGGAAATTAAATATTTAAAAGTAGATAATTATATTGATAAATTCTCAAAGCCAGTATTCTACATTGAGAGTTTGGTTTCGCCAAATAATTAAAAAGAAATGAAGCGTAGTTGTTATGAAGCGTCGAGTTTAGTATACACTTTAATCATTAAATTAGTACTCGTCTGGGTGCTTTAAAATTTTGCCAACTTTCCTTTTTTGGATGTCCCACTAACTTTGTCACTTTCCCTTTTAAGTAAAAAATTTGTGGTTTCAGTCAATTCTCTTTCCTCTGTACAAAGCTCAACCACACAATTTTTACTTTATTAATTCCCGTGCCGGTCAAATTTGACAAAGTTTTAAGGGACGGGGTAGTAGTTGTTATGTGCTTTATATACCGTGAATAGTAAGATATGTATTCTTTTTTGTACTACGTATTATTTTTGTGGTAAATTGTATACTCGCACAAAATAAATTTTAACCAAGACTATTAGGGGATACTATGCTAAAACATATCATCTTCGATCATTATTGTCCAAAGTGGAAGAGCAATTAAAATCCAGATGTTGTCTTGATTTAGGAGCAAATAAGCATTTAGTTGTTGGACTTCTTAAGTCTTAAATGACTGGTAAACATGTAAAGTGAAATTTGATTTAGTAAAAAAGAAGATAATCCTCCCTAAACTATATTGCCCATAATTTGAATTCATAAGAAATGAGGCTTGTTGATTTGTCATAATCCTGGCTAAACTATGAGGTCGTTTGGCAACCCTCATTTTCGGCTTATCAGGCTTATCAGCCAACTTTTTTACCAAACACATAAATTTTGCTTTCGCGCACTGAATTGTGTAATAAGCCGAAAAAGTAAGGTTGGAGTTACTTTTCTGGCTGTATTGGCTGAAGTTACTGTAGATGATCATTTTAGCTATTTTTACATATAATTTTTTCTTTATTTTATTAATAAAATATATTTTAAAAATATTTTTTTCTTGTATCAGCAGAATCAGCCAATGCAGCCACTTCAACCAGAACTTCATAAATTTCAGCTGAATCAGCCAAAACAGCCGATTTTCGTGCTACCAAACGGGCTCTATATTGGCCATAATTTGGATTCATAAGCTCGGTCCGATTTTGACCAGAAACCAAATACAGAACCAAACTAAAGTAGAAAGTTTGGTTCGATTTCGGTTTCGGTTTTACCTTTCAAAACTTGAAACTACGGTTTGATTGGTTTGGTTTGTTTCCGTTCGGTTTCGGTTTTTCATTTTTTTACTAAAAATTTTCATTTGATTTAATTAACATGTGAGGATTGTTCCGGTTTGATTTTTTTTATTAAATTAGGAAAATCAATTTTTTAATTTTTTATATTTTTAGTGTTTTATAACTTACTTTCGAATATAATAATTTTTCTCCAGTAAATAAGTTTCTAATACTAAGGGCATCCCCATCCATTAGATTACTTGAGGATATAAGGCAAATTATACCGTGGGATCGATCTACTTTCCGCATGGTGGAGCAATCCCTAAAATGGTGTAGTTTTGCATATTAAATGATTAAATTCTTGAGGTAAGGGATGAACAGGGGAGTCGATTGGGAGTTGCCGACTTGCCGCCCATCTAGATCGAAGCGCCTCAAAGACAGACTTCAGTCATCGCTTCCTTTGCGTCCTCAGTGATTGAAGCGACATCCATGGCAGCCTACGACAAAGCTTGAGGTATCACAATTTTCAATCCAATAACGTGCAGTCCAATCCAATCCAATAGCGTGCAATTCTCACAGCCTGCGGAGAAGGAGATGTCAAAGACGATTTGGCCAATTTGAGAACCTTTAATATCATAGGATTCCTGGAGGTCCAATAGTGTGAAATCCCCAGATGGCAGGCAGCTAGTAAAAATAAAGATGTTGTAGAACTCAAACATACTTTATAATAAGTAGATGGTGTAGCACCGTAGAAAAATGGTGCATTCGGTAGAAAAATGGTCTAACATACTCTAAACTCTAAAGATGTATTTATTATATCTCTTATATTTTTTAGTGTTTTTTAGACATTAAATTTGGTAATTTTGATTTACATTTGATAAAGTATGAGATTACATTTTTATATGTGATTTATATTTCTACAAGTGTGAGTTATGTTTATTGATAATTTCTGGAGTTACATTTGATAATATATGAAGTTACATCTTCTTGTACGTGAGTTACATCTTTTTATGCGTGAATTACATCTTCATACACTGAAGCGAATTACATTAGACTTGCCTCAACAAATTACATTTTGCATGCATCTAAGGATGTTTTTACTTGGACTGTAATTCATCCAGACCAGACTTGGATAGTTATAAAAATACAAAGAAACCAGACCAGACCAGACCAGACCGGACCAGTTCAGACCAGATCAGATCAGACCAGACCAGACCAGCAAATTACAGTCCAAGTAAAAACATCCTAAATTAGATTTTCCATCAACATGAGTTACATTTTCCATAATACGAGTTTCATCACAAAATAAACTTCTGCTATTGAAACAAAAAATATCATTTTTTTGCATAAAAAATGTTTTTTTTGGCAATAATTAAATATTTTTTCCCAAAAAAAAGTTTTGGCAAAAAAATATTTTTTAAGAAACAATTTTTTATGGCCTTAAATATTAAATACAAAACATATTAACTATTTACGTAAAGTAGTTGAGCAATGAGCTTAGACTCCTTGTTTTTAATGTTTACATTTTCTTAAAGACAAAACATATTCACTACTTATGTAAAGTAATTGAGCAATTAGACCGCTTTTCTTCATTGTTTACATTGAAACCAATGTTTTATTTCTTCTTATCCGTATTAGAAAAGTTACATCTCAACTTGCCTGAAGTTATATTGCATATCAACGTGATTTACATTTCATTACTCACAAGTTATATCATCCCGCTACTGGGAACAAAAAAAAAGTTACTGTTTACGCGTGAATTAACTGTGAGAACACCATGCTCACCGTGTGCTGCTCCAAGTGAGGTTATAATGTTAGAATTGATAATTATGGAGTATTGCATGATTAAAGACAGGAAAGTGGAGACAAATTCAAGACGCTAATCAAGATTTAGTTCCCTATCTTAAAGAAGGGTATATTTCTTGGTATGGAGGTATGTTTTGGTTGGGCTCTAAGCTAAATGGTGTCCGCTGTATGGGTTCTTTTGACCTCAAAGAGGAGAAATTCAAAGAAATCCAGCTAGCCATTATAGGGCCACAAAAATTCGGGTGTAATATGTTTGGGAATATCAGGGAGATGGAACTCATTATGTGCATTCTATCTTCAAAAGAAATTTCTTTTCTACTAACTAGACCGAAATTAGGCTAAAAATGTATATCAAAATTTATAATTATTTATGATTTTTCATATGATGAATATTACATATATAATTTTCTTTTTTAAATCTGAAGATCATATAGTGCCCAATTGAAATAGTATCAAAATTGAAAATTCTAACACAATTGAAATTTCTTTCTCACCAGACCAAACTTAAGCTCAAAATATATCAAAATACATAACTTTATATAATCTTCATTTGAAACCAATATTGTATTTATTATTTTTATTAAAAATCTAAAGATCAAGGTCATATTGGCTTTGGATTTTTTTAAACTATATGCAATATTGATGTCATATGAAATATTATAAATGCTCTAAATTTTGATATATATTTAGCCTACGTTTGGTCTTGTGAGAAAGAAATTTGAATTAGATATAAAATTTTAAAATTTGATACTTTGTATTTCATTTATACACAGTATAGGAGTTTTTTTTCGAATTAATGTTAATTAATTAATTAATTGCGAAAATAATGCTGGAAAAAATGTATTTACCGATCTACTGTCGGATTTAACCATGGTCAAGAAAAGTCGCCCAACGATTGGGCGACTTTCCCTTCCATATGAAGGCAGCCCAACAGCTACTGCCAGCCACGCACGATCGTGCCTGCAAGGGGCACGATCGTGCCTAATTTCGAAAAACAGAATTTCAGCATTTTTTTGCCCCAGTTCAACCCAAACTCATCTGTTTGCTATAAATAAGGTCTCTCTTCTCCTGTTTAAGTGTTACGAGTCAGATACAACACATTATAAAACATACAACACACCTGTTCACAAACACATACATAACACCTACTCTCAACAACATACAAGTAATCATCTAATATTCATACTCGAACACATGAAGACAACATACAAAAGTTTAGAAGAGAAAATACGTAAGATGTTGTAAATTGTTCTACAACATCTACTGTGCAAGAAAAACTCCAACACAAAAAGGCAAACTACAAGTTTTCATGGTCATCTTGATCATTGTGGTCATGAAGATGTTGTTGCTGATGTCTATGCCTACGCCGTGGCCGTGGTTGAAGAACCACTCTCTCATGATGCGTCTGGGATGATGAAGCCGCCGCTGCACTAGACATCGATGGCATCTCCTGTGATGGGGGCATGTGTATAAGATGGCCGTAGTCGACTCGCCCCAACACATCTGAACACAAGGAGGCAATGCCTGTCAGAGTCTGTCCATACATGTCCACATCATGAGTCTCACTCACTGTGGCAGTAGCCCGCTGATGTATATGCTGCAAAGCTCGTGTCTGAAATATGAAACACAATTACAATTACATTCAAATACATACAAGTATTAACTAAATAAAATGACTTACTTTACTAATTAGTAATATACTCACCGTAAGATGCAAAGCCAAGGAGCTAGGCTGATAATGATGAGTAGGGAGTCTGAACGAAGGACACACAAATAAACGAGTGATGCTGTAATACCATCCCATGTAATCTCCTGAAACAGATGGGACAAATGTCGGTGTCCCAATCACAACTAGCTCAGCTCGCCTGTCCCACAAAGCGACGTATTGGACATGTCTGAGTGCCCAATCCTCCGTATGCTTCCCACGCTTATCCAGCCTATGAAGCTCTACATAAGTGTCGATAGGCCGTGGAATGACCTGCTCAAACCCAAATTGTCGCAAGACTCGATCAGGCAAATGAAGCTCAACAATGTCAAAACATATCAACGGCACACGTGCTCTCCATATGTGACTATGCTCTCGTCCAGCTAGGGCAACTCTGCAAACATCTCAGCTGTATACGGCATCCATGTAATCTGTTTTATAAAGATACAAA